AAGCGTCCGACTTCAGCTCTGGTCGTTATCTCGCGGTTTGTGAGTTCGAGCCCCATGTCGGGCTCTGTGCTGACAGCTCATAGCCTGGAGCCTCCTTCACATTCTGTGTCTCCCCATCTCTCTGTTCCTCCCATGCTCATGCTCTGTCTCTCAATAATAAATAAAAATGTTAAATTTTTTTTAATTAAAAAAAAAGAGGAGGGGAAAATGATTGTCATCAGGTGGTTTTGCAGAGGTGTAGAGATGAACTATTTGTTGATCCTAGTCTAGCAGTTACTTCAAGAATTTTCTCATTAAAAAACAAACAGACAGACAGACAGACAAACCTGACATTTAGTCCTAACTGCGATTCTTATTAGCAGCCCAGCAAAACCCAATCAGCAGAGAAAGTTGATTCTTCCAGCGAGGAATGGAATCGGGCCACTAGAGGAGGTTCGTTGAGGCCTCTGGGTGCTGATCCAGGGAAAAGATAAGATCCTGAGAGGCAGTGACACATTTCATGAGGTCCTACTTGAACAGAGTTGGACGAGAGAGGAGGTGCCTCGCATCAGGGGACTCGGCAGAAGTGAATGACAAGCGGGTCACCATTCAGAGAGAGAGGGGCAAGGGAACTTTCGAGAGAGAAAATCAAAGACAAAGCTGGAGTCCAAGCGCCTATTGCTCTGCAGCGGAGCGGGGGGGGGTCTCCAGTCACAGACCTTGAAGGACAACAACCGCTTGGTCTTATAATCACACGATTAATCTACCAGTGGTCACTAGATGCTGAGTGTCCTTTCACAAGTTGTGCAAAGCAAGCAGGCACTATGATAGCAAAACATCTACTTTTTTGGACTGGGGGAAAACAATGCAATGTGTAAAATTTTGAATTTGGAGCCTGCGGGGTTTTGAGCTAATGGGTGTCAGCCTGCTGTGAAGTTACCAAAATTGCCTGGAAGCCAATCGACAGAGGTCATCTGGCTCATTTATATAACAAGCCACCATCTCAAAACAATGAGAATGACAGTCCTCGGTGCCACATCTTGAGTTTGAGGACTTTTCCCACAATGATAAATTAGTGATAAAAATGAAGATCCCGAAAGCATAGTATTAATACAAGTCCAAGTCAGAGAATCACTAACATTAAATATTTTAGAAATATTTGCCTTGTCTCTGGTCAAGCATTTAAAAGAGAAGCGCCTTACATCTGGTTACTTTTATCTTATTACCATTGTGCATAGAGTCATGTCTGCCACTTCACACTGAATAGTTTATCTGTTTTCCAGTATATTTTCTCCTTATTCTTTCCCTAGGCCCTGTCTGCAGAACAAATTTTCTCTTCCTTTCCTCCAAAAGCTGCTTGATATATCTCCTCTTTACTTTTCCTTTTTAAGAAATCTCCATAATGATTTGCCTTTTCCTGGTAATAATCCTTCAAAAGCTGCTCAGCAGAAAATAGTAGGATTTTCTTTCCATTCCTATACACTCTGGCCTCTAGTCAAACATTATAACATTACCTACTTTTCCTGAGCCATGGGAGGAGAGAAATGAATAGAGACTCCATGTATCAACAGTGGAACCTAGGGACACAGTGGCTACTGAAAACTGAAGCCTAATCAGAACATCAGAACATCCTCTCCCCCAATTCCCGGTCACCAAGTCGATGAGCCGCAAGTAAGAAGTTAAAGCATTTTATTCCTGAAGGCAATACAGAGGTCTGTACAGAGAGCCCCTCTCCAAGGCATAGCATAAAGGGGTGGGGGTGTGTGCTTAAAGCAAAAAGTGAAGCCAATATTAAAAAAAATCTTCTAACAAAATAACTTACTCTAAATATCAGTTAATATTGGAAGAATTGGAAGCATGTGGTATATTCAGAGTAACTATAGCAACAATAAATTGCAATCTAGCTCAACCCTTGGTAAGGCTGATGCATTACTCTGCAATAAAGATCTAACAGAAAAAAGGCCTACCAACTTCCAGGCTTAATAAATATCTCTTAAAAAAGAGATATCTGTCTTTTAATCAAAAAGTAGAGGCACAAAACCAAAACAAAACAAAAACACAAGGAAAAGAAAAGAACACCCATGTCAACAGGCAAAATACTCAACACGATCAGGATCAGTTAAGACACAGATATTCAAATTATCAAAAAAGGAATTAAAAAATTTATAGTCAACATAACTATATGTTGATATATATATATATATATATATATATATATATATATATATAGTCCAACAGTGGACAGCATGAAAGAGCATAAGGGAAATTTCATCAGAGAGGCAGAAACTATGAGAAAAAAATGAAATTTCTAGAAATAAAAATAGTAAAAAATGTTTTTTTATAGGCTCCTCAGGCTCAACTTAGCCAAGAAAAGAATCAGGAATTTAAAACCAGATTGAAAACATTATCCAAAATTAAAACATAAGGAAAAAAAGTGAGCACACACGTACACATGCACACATATGTAGGAAAACACCAAATATGATTACAACACATGAAATTGGAAAGAGAGAGAAAGAGCTGGTGACAAAGCAATATTTGAAAAAACAATTCCTAAATATTTTCCAAAATTAATGATAGATACAAAAGCACAAATTCAACTAGATCAGAAAACATCAAGTAAGAAAAATAAAATGTACACCTAGGGGCACCTAGGTCAACTCATTTGGTTAAGCATCTGACTCTTGCTTTTGGCTCAGGTCATGATCTCATGGTTCATGGGTTCTAGTCCTGCGTAGGGCTCCACAGAGACAGCACAGAGCCTACTTGGGATTCTTTCTCTGCCCCTCTGCCACGCTCTCTCTTTCAAAATAAATAAATAAATAAACTTTAATAAAATCCACACTTGGAATTATTCAAACTGCTAACAAGCAAAGCCAAGAGATAATCTTACTTGCAAATGAAGACAAATAAATATGGCAGTTACAGGAACACAGGTAATAAGTACAGACCTATCATCAGCCCAGGTAAGAGGGAAGACAATGAAGAGCCATGATTGAAATGTTGGGAAAATATAAAAACCCAACAACCCAGATTCCATAGCCAGTGAAAGGATCCTTCCAAAATCAAGAAGAAATAAAGGCTCTGTGACTACGATACACTAGGAGAATTTATTCCCCAAGACCTGCACTAAGAGGGATTTTAAAGAAAGGTTTGAATGCAGAGGAAAATAGAAAACCAGATGGAAACATGGATCTAGACAAACAAATGAGGGGTGCTAGAAATTAAAAAAATTAAAGTAATTTTAAAATTTAGTCTTTCATATTATTGATTACTCAAAAGGATGACTTCACGTCTAAAGCAAAAACAGCAACATATTTTGTGTTTGCAATGTATGTGAAAGTAAAATAGATGACACAAATCTCAAAGAAAAAAATAGTGGCAGGGAGGAATGAAAGGTATAGTTTTTCAAGGGCCTTAAACTACGTGTCAATTATTTGAGGCTACTTTGATTAATAAAGATGCATATCTGAAATCACAGGGAAATCACTAAAAGCAATTTTAAAAAGAGTTATGAGTAATGACCTAAGAGAGGAGATAAAATGAAATCATAAAAAATCATCCAAGACAAAGGTAGAAATAGATGAACAAACAAATAAATAAGATAAATATAATACAGCTAACAAGATGATAGATCTTAACTCAACAATATTATAGTACCATTAATGTTAACAGTCAAAAATCACCAATTCAGGCACAAATTGTGAATTTGGTGGAGAGGGGAGGGAAGATATATGTTCCTGCTGTAGACTGTCTGCAAAATGACATACTTTGTGTAAAGGCATAGATGGGTTAAAAGTTAGGGAATATATTTCAACACTAATCAAAATAATGCTGGAGTAGCCAACTTAATGTCAAACTTGTCTTCTGGACGAGGATCACTGCCTGGGATAAAGACAGACATCACACAATTACACAATAGTCATCATCCAAGAAGACATAAGAATCTTTAACTTGTATGCACAGAGTTTTAAAGTCCATGAAGCAAAAACTTCAAAATGTTTCAAAAACATTTGAAAGGAAAAATAGGAATTAAAATAGCCAAACAATTTTGAAAAGGAAAACAGAATTGTAACGATTCAGATTTCTTCATTTCCGGGCCTGGCATAAAGCTTTAGTCATCCAGATGTTTTAGACAGGCAGATGAATGACACAGAAGAGATTCTACAAGGAGACTCACACCTACATAGTCAATTAATTTTCAACACCGTAACAAAGACGCTCAATGGATAAAACACAGTCTTTTCAGCAAATGCTCTGGGAATTTATATTCTTTTGCAGCAAAATAAACATCCATCCGTATGTACACCTTGATCAAAAATGAATTTAACATGGATCATAGAAAGTGCTGCGTTTGTAAATGTGTAACAACCAGCTTTGTTGGGGAGGAAAAAAGCTTTACATTTTTTGCATTTGCTGCTTTCCAGAGTACGAGTAACACTGACGTGGCTTACCTTCAGTTAATAATATCATCAGCAAATTCACAAAAATATATGGCTTTAACAATTGGCTCTTGAGAACCGATATGGTCTGGCTATCAGGAGCACAACACTTACTCCTAAATGAAAAACATAAACTAGCCAAAAAGAAGTGAAAGGAGAAAATTTTGTGACCTTGGATAAGGCAAAGATTTCTTAAATACGATTCCAAAAGCATAAGCCACAACAGTCACAGGTTCTTACCCAAATGTAAAGAAATCCTGGGTTTAAATAAAACCTGCCCTTGGATGTTTATAATGGCAATGTTAGTAATTGTTGAAAAATAGAGTGCTGTTTAGCAGTTAGAAGAAATGAACACTTATAGACGCAAACATGTATTTTATTTTATTTTTTAAATTTTATTTGAATCCAAGTTAATTAACATCAAGTGTAATAATGGGTTCAGGAGTAGAATTTAGTGATTCATCACTTCCCTATAACACCCAGTGCTCGTGGCAAAACTCTAACGCTGCATAGTTCAGTGGGTTCTAGAACTTAGGTATGGAGGGGAAGGCTGACTGTAACAGACAAGTTGGAATCATCAGGAGTAATCACATTGTTCTGTTCCTTGACTATGGCGATAGCCAGATGCCATAACTGTATCAGAACTCGCAGAACAGTAACTTAAAAAGGTGGGTTTTCCTCTATGTACATTATGTTTTAATAAAAAATGGGAAAATATTTAAATATTCTACAAGTTTTAAAGAAATGAATGGTCAAACATAGAATCCAAAATATAACCACCAAAATATATCACATGTATTTGTTTAGATACAACATGGCTTATACATTGTCTTCCAAATTATCTTAAAAATCGGACTAAAGTTGCCTTTTCCATAACACTGCTAATTTTTCTTTGAAAATGACATAAGCTGCGGGTGATACATTATGACAGGGTGGGACCAAATGAGTGGTTACTGCGCATCATCAGTGTTCAGCTGGGACACCCTGCGTGCAATTTTACAAAGGACAGTGGAGGCATAGCTGGGTGGCTCAGTCGGTTGAGTGTCCGACTTCGGCTCAGGCCATGATCTCACGGTTCATGGGTTCGAGCCCCATGTTGGGCTCTGTGCTGACAGCTAGCTCAGAGCCTGGAGCCTGCTTCAGATTCTCTGTCTCCCTCTCTCTCTGACCCTCCCCTACTCATGCTCTCTCTCTCTCTCTCAGAAATAAATAAAAAACTTTTAAAAACGAAAAAAGAACAATGGAGGAAGGCGTGAGAGCAGAACAATAAATGTCAACATCACACAATTCAGTTTCTCCAAGCTATGCGTTCTTGTATCCATGTCGTAACAGCCTCATCAGAATGTTTACATTTGATCTTAGTACTTTAATTCTTGGGGCACCTGTGTGGCTCAGTGGGTTGAGGGTTCAACTTTTCATTTCGGCTTAGGTCAGGATTTCATAAACCAAGCCATGAGATGGAGCCCCGCATTGGTCTCTGTACCAGCAGCACAGAGCCTGCTTGAGATTCTCTCTCTCTTTCTCAAAATAAATAAATAAACATTAAAAAAAACTTTAATTCTTAAAAATGTAAAGAATGAACCTTTAAGCTAAATTGCAAATTCTTCTTCACGTCTCAGGAGCTTTTCCTGTTACCTTCCTAGTCTGCTCCAGCTTTCCTCCTCAGGGAGGTTGTGGTGATTAAATCTCACCTATCCCTCTACCTTCCCGGGAGGTAAGCGGCACCTCCTTAGGAAGGCTCCCCTCCAGGCAGGATGGAGGAGCCCTCCCCTCCTTAGGGAGGCTCCCCTCCCCTGCAGCGTGTCTCTGCTCTGGGGGTCCTATGCCTCTTGGTGTCCCAACACCTACTGTGCAGAGTGCTACTTGGAGATCCACGTAGCAAAATCACCCCAAACCACACGCTCCCCACACTGTGAGTGTCGATGTCATCATCTCACCCCAGGACGTAACCCTGATACATAAATAAGTGAACTCTTTGAGTCTGGCTGGCAAATGCATTAAGCCATCAAGTTGAGCACTTCAAGGCTGGGATTTAATTTGGCCTTTTATACGTGGCCAAAAGAATATTAAATTCATAAATAAATTTTAACCTCAGATATATTTAACTTACAAATGTGATGAATAATTGATTTATGGAGCAAAAAGAAAAACTTTTGCAAGATAGGCTTCTGGCCACAGTAATCAATTCGAGAAAGGAGTTTTCAGCCCTTACGAGTTTGTCTGAGGCCAGATCCCAACACGGTATGATGCCACAATCCATAATCATATGGATCCTGAGCCATTCAGTCTGGGCTCAGACCTTGCCTAGGGTGGCCAGCATACACACCATGGTGAACAAGTTGACTAACGCACGTACTTCAGGTTTCTCCGATATAGACCAGGTTCATGACAAGATATAATCCCATGCTTAGAATGGCACCTGGTGCCTGGCAAGCTTTTAATAAACACCAGTCATTTACATTAGTGATGTTGATTAGCTTCTGAGGGACAGAGTTATAATATAGAGGCCAATGAAGCAAACCTGCTAATAGTTAATACTTTGTTTTTATGTTAGCGTGTTTTATTTTAGGTAGAGTCTGAAGCAGTTTCAGATCTGAGGCAATATGAAGGAAAACCGCAGGCATGATTACTACAATTAAGATTTTAAAAACATTTTAATACTGTAAGTAAACTGTCTTCTTCATATCTCCTGGATACGGAAGTAGGAGTTTTCTGGAAATCTAGCTCATGATATTTCACAGTTCCCTAGTGCCAGGACTGGGGATCGCAATCAGCACCACGAGTCCGTGGCTCAAGTATCAGATTTGATTTGACACGGAATATTAAATTGTCATTGTGGCAGATTCGGTTCTACGTTTTGGACCTAAACTCCTGTTTAGTTAGATGCAAAATAACAGAACTCACTAACCATACATATTAATTCAAAGTGAGCCAGTCTTGACAGGCAAAATTTGTTCATTTACAATGCCTCCTGGAGGAAAGCAGAGACAAAGCGTTTCATTCCCAACTCCCTGAAAGTCACACTGTAAACAGATTTGCTACCTATTAGACATGGCTCTGTTTCAAATCAGAGCTTAACAACATCTGAAGTGTAACAGATTTTCACGGCGAAGAATAGATTTTAGCAAGATAGAAATCATGCCGCATCCCTGATTTCCCTAATCCTATCCTACGCCTCATTATATCTCCAGTCATCCACATCCAAATCCTACCTGGCTCTGTCACCAAGTCCAGTTTCCACCCTCTGCGGTCTCCTCTGTTTTTGATCAAAGATTACCAAAGTTTACACAGGTGATGCTGATATCATTAGATTGCTCCTGATATTTGCAAAACTGCTACAAGAAGGGTAATTGACCACACAGAGCTTTTTAAGATTGCTTTGCTGGAACTTTTCAGGATGGATCGCCTCTCTTTGGAAGCTTCTCTTGGCTAGAAAGACAAGCCAAGAACTCACCATCGGTACCTCCAGTACCTACAGATTTGGGTGGATTTCTCTCTTCTTGAGGTCCCCCAGATATCCTCAGGTTCCTGGGACTGCAGGGAAGTAAATGTCCTTCCTCGCTGTAAGGTTAGGAACCCCGTAAGTCAGGTACCAGGCTGTTTTTTTCTAAGAGAGTTTTGTAATCATTTGCTCCATAAAGTCAACCTTAGTTCCGTTAAATTTTCTGGTCATATCTGAGTCCAGGCACATCATTCTCAAATATGACAGGCCAGTCAAAGCCTTGGTTATATAACCTTTTGTTTTCTCACTATGTCCTGTTATAAAGAGAACAGATTCTTATTGAAATTCTGCAAATAATGATGTTGCCGTGAAAATTAGAACATTCAGCAAGAGTTTGCAAATCCTAGGGGGATCAAGCAGGGAGAAAAAGATAAATGACTCATTGCTCTTTACACAAGTATAATCTACTAAATTGTTACTATAGATAGCTTAAGAGAAAAGCAAAAGCGCTTCCTCGTATCCAGAAAACGGAGCATGAAAGAACAAGCACAGTTCCACACAAAGGCTGTCAAAAAATATTATCATTCTTCATCGGTTAATTCAGTCCCATGTAATTAGGTCTTGCTCTGCTTGATCTTGGGTTAGCAGTTTATGAACTTGTCAGCTTCTCTGCCAGAGCACTGGAAATCTTCACTCAGTCCAGTGGTGTGGTCTGAAATACATTTAAGCACGGTCACAAGGAGTCTGTATTCCGGGGTACCTGTCATCATTTTTTCTATGGGTCTCTGAGACAGCCCCTTTTTATTGAAGCTGAAGTGTTCTAGTCTGCAGCTGATTGCAAAAACTTTTGGAAAAGAATCAGAGCGAAACAAAACCTGGCTGTGGATGTCAAAGGACTTTAAATGACTGTGGCTAAAGATCTGGTGAGAATACATTGACAAAGAAATTGGGTGATTTCTTTTTTTTATTTTTGCTTTTATTTTTTGATTTAATTTTTAATGTTAATTTTTTTTATTTTTTATATGTATAATTTATTGTCAAGTTGGCTAACACACAGGGTATACAGTGTGCTCTTGGCTTCGGGAGTAGAATCCTGTGATTGATCACTTACATATGGCACCCAATGCTCATCCCAACAAGTGCCCTCCTCAATGCCCCCACCACCCATTTTGCCCTCTCCCTTTCCCCCTCCCCCCACCCTCAACCCTCAGTTTGTTCTCTGTATTTAAGTCTCTTGTGGTTTGCCTTCCTCTCTGTTTCTAACTATTCTTTTTCCTTTCCTTCTCCAAGGTCTTCTGTTAAGTTTCTCAAATTCCACATACGAGTGAAAACATATTATATCTGTCTTTCTCTGACTGACTTCTTTCACTTAGCATAATACCCTCCAGTTCCGTCCATGTTGCTACAAATGGCAAGATTTCATTCTTTTTCACTGCCGAATGGTATTCTATTGTACATATAAACTACATCGTCTTTATCCATTCATCAGTTGATGGACATCTGGGCTCTTTCCATAATATGGCTACTGTTGACAGCACTGCTGTAAACATTGGGGTACATGTACCCCTACGAAGCAGCAGTCCTATATCCTTTGGATAAATCCCTAGTAGTGTTATTTCTGGGTCATAAAATAGTTCTGCTTTTAATTTTTTGAGGAACCTCCACACTGTTTCCCAGAGTGGCTGCACCAGTTTGCATTCCAACCAACAGTGTAAGAGGTTCCTGTTTCTCCACATCCTCACCAACATCTGTTGTTTCCCGAATTGTTAGAAATTTGGTGATTTCTGTGGCATATAACATTGTTAAATAATAACCAGAAGTAGGACTGATGACATTATACCAGGACACATCATGAAGAGCAGGGCCATGGGCAAATTTCTAAGAACCTCATATAGTTTCTGAAATAGTTATATTATTTACCTTCACCCATCCATATATAACCTATGGGGAAGTTTAAGCATCTCTTCCTATTTGAAAATAATTTTCATGCAGTTGAACATATCAAGTAAATTTAATTACTCTTTTTCCAAGATGAAAAGACAAGTTCTTTGAGATTTTCCAGGGACCCTCTGCAAAATCTCAAAGTCAGTTTGAGATTACAAAAGATTTCACAGTTTAGAATTTGACTTGGGAAGGAAAATATCAAAAGTGTCCAAAGGTTTGAACTTTTGAATAAATAAGATCCTGGGTCTAAAAATAAAGTTAACCACCTACTAACCAAAGTAACAATAAAATAATCCAAAAGTAAACATAGAAAGTAATAAGACTGAAAAAAAAAAAAAAAAGACAAAAGCTTTATTCGGTAAAAATATGAGAATATTCAGTTTTCTTAAGTATTGAAGAATGCAATAAAATCAATAAAAGGCATGGGAAGTTGTTCAGGTAAGACATGAATATTTGTTTCCTAGGTAGATTACGTACAAAGGTAAGAAACAAACAAATAAACAATCAACAACAAACTTTTGCAGGGAAGAACAATAATCAAAGAATGCTTTGTTGTTTTAACAGATAAAAAGCCAAATTCTAGTTTTGCATTTCTGTACTATTAAGAATAAAAGTCTTAAAAAAAACCTTACATATAAAACCACCTAATCTTATCCAGGTTAGATTTGACAAGGCAAGATTCCGTTTTCAAGATTCCTTTTTCTCAGACTGCCTGTAACTTTCTTTTCCTATTTTTAAAAATATTCTTAGTTTTTAGTTAAGTTTTTTTTTAACGAAAGACAGAAAGAGAGAGCTTGGGGGAGAGGGGCAAAGGGAGAGAGAGAGAGACAGAGTATCCCAAGAGGTCTCCATGCTCTCAGCACGAAGCCTGATTTGGGGCTTGATCCCACAACCCTGGGATCATGATCTGAGTCAAAATCAAGAGTCAGATGCTCAACCGACTGAGCCACCCAGGCGCTCCCTGCCTGGAACTTTCTTATACATTCATTTTTGTCCTTTATTTTCACCTTTTACTTTAGAACAAAATTACTCTTCCCCTGCCCCCCAAAAAACACACACCCTCTATACCATGCACCCTTGGCATACAATGTTTCCCTTCACCGTGATTATCACTAGTAGTTTTATTTTCACATATTGGTTGTAGTGTTTAGCCATTAGTAACCTTGACTTTCTTACAGCAAATCTAGGAAATAATAGCTGTGAATTGTAGCAGACTGCCAAATTTTATGAACACACATGTCACAATTTTATAGGTATATTCTTCCTTAGAGTATATTTTTTCACTGTGACAAAAAGAATATGCTTATTAACAGACTCCAATGTATTTAGCTTCTGTATACCATATGAAAATAAGAAGCCCAAACTATAAAAACTTAAGTATAGTCTTAATAATTAATGTTTCAGTAACCTCTTTTACTTAGAAATTATTAACCATTACCTACTACTTAACTCTAAGGTTGTAAGTTTCCAAAAAGATGTTGGATACCATTTTCATTTATCCGTCTAGAGTTCTTAGTCTGTTAACTCTTTGTTAGAGCACATGCATGTCAGGCAAGTATCACAAATGCAAAAACCTAAAGAAAGCTAAATACATGGGGTGTTTGTTTGTTTTACTGCCATGTTTGATCTCTATTATCTATCTACTTATTGTCATCTATTATCTATCTATCCATCTATTTATCTATCCATCCATCATCTATCTGTAATCTACCTATATCTATCTATCCATTTATCTATTATCTATTTATTTGTCTATCATCTATCTATCTTCTACCATCTCACCTATCCATCTATCATTTATCTATGTATCTATCAATTTATCTATCTATGTATCTATCATCTATCTATCCATCTATCATCTATGTAGCTATGTATCCATCACCCATCTCTCATCTATCATCTCTATCTAATCTATCATCTATCTATCTATCTATCATCTATCTATCTATCTATCTATCTATCTATGTATCTATCTTACTATCTATCTATTTATCATCTCTCTATCCAGCTACCTTATTCAAGTATACATTTAAATCTCCATATCATCATCAGCAGCAGCAATATGCCCTGATATTTCTGTCTAATAAACAAGAGTGATTTTAATTCCCAAATGTATATTCTTGGTGTAAAAGCTGGTGCACTGAAGGTGATGCACTTTCTCAAACTCTGCAGGAATGAAAACACCACAACCATACAGAAGGGCAAGAAGGAACAGCGTTGGCTCCTCACCTTCTGTGGCCGAAGCCTGGCGAGACGCATCACATTAGAGGAATTCTTACCTTGTTTTCTGACTAAAGAATAACCACCAGGGTTGGCAGGGTCGATTCTGTGATGCCAAAATACCATCAGTAAACCCCAGCTGCGCATTCCTCAGCAGGGCCATTGTGAAGTAACATTAGCTGTCTTCCAGCCCAACAAGATAAACTTCATAATATTTAATTTCACTAGCCTATCTCAAGTCGTCCCTAGAAAAGTATCAATATCTCTGGTTTAGAAACCTTCCATTATCAAAATCTATGTTTAATTTATGTTCATTTGCAATTTTATTTTTTTAACTACCTTCTCGCGCTGGAAAGTAAAATATCCCTGTATGTAATTGTCAGACTTTTAGCTAATCTACCTTATTTTCAGTTGTATCAAGAAGTGGAGGGTCTGTCTGAGGTTTTGTATCCGGTGGGAGAGCCCGGGAAATAACCCAGACAAGTACTATTTACACAGTAGGTACTCACCTCATCAAACATACCGCTTCATCACTCACCAAGAATAAAACTCTTATTGTAAACAAATACTAAGTTGTTAAAGGTGCAGTTTGCCTTACTTTTCTGAATAGAAATGTGGCACTTCTAATATTTTATATTATATAAAAAGATATAGGTAAATAGGTATTTTCTATAAATATTTTATGCTTATATATAATATGTCACTATATAAAAGATAAAATGAGAGGTGTCAAAAAATAAAACAAAATTCTCAGAAACACATTTGGTGACATATTTGATGTTGCCTTTTTACCAGTTGACTCCTTAAATGTATTTTCCTCTGATCAGAATATAGTAAAAACATTTAATCCAACCAAATGACATTTGCTATTTTTAAAATCGACTTTAATTTTGTTCAATTAGTTTTAATTTTAAAAACTAATTTTAAAGCTAACTATGCTCTCAGGGCAAGAGATCTAATCTCTTAAAAGCTCCCTGACTCCATGTTCTAAGCGAGTTCTCTAGCCAGAGGTTAAGCTTAAAGCTTCATGAACAGCTTTGAGGCAAGATGCTCAATTCAAGCCTACCTTATTTACTTTGAGTCCTCGATTTCTTAGATTTTATTTTAGAAATCGAGAGAGGGATCTGTGTCCTTTATAAAATATACAATATTGTTGAGGAAATGAGCTATTTATATTTATGTGTTTGTGTATTTTCAGTTCCGTCCTTGCAAAAAGTTTCGGTGCAGTTCTAAAGGGAAACAAAGGTTTCCGGTATCAATTTCTGCATGAAAATAGTGAAGGCTCAAACTGTGGTGTTTCTGATAGGACAGGTGAGTCAATTCACAGCAGTTGTTGTAATTCTTCTCTTATGATTACAGTCAAGCAGCCTGTTGTCCTGCTGGTTTAATTTAAATATTGGTTAGTTACTACACGGTGCAATATTGGTTTCAGGAGTAGAGTTCGGTACAGGTGCCTTCACACATACCCATCACCCATCTAGCTCCCCCCCCCTCCATCCGTCAGTTTGTTCTCTATCCTTAAGAGTCCCTTGTGTTTGGTTTCCCCTTCTTTCGTTTCCTCTCTTCTAGTCCCCTCCTCTTCCCATGTGTTCATCTCTTTTATTTCTTAAACTCTACCTATGAATGACAAACAAACAATTTTTGTTTGTAGAATGTAAAGCTAAATTGTCCTCTTTTTTTAACAATGAGTTTTACTGAAACAACTAGGATGCAAGCAATGTTGATCAATCATGGCATATACAGAGATTTTCTTCAAGAAAATCTTTTTCTTACTTTAGCTCCCATTCTGAGATACAGTAAAATACAACAGACGAGGGAACAGGTTATGAAGTTATGAAGCCCGTAGTCAGATTCCCACCTCTGTGACTCATCTGCTATGAGATCTTGACCACATCATTGAATCGCTTCAAACCGCATTCTCCATCATCTGTAAAATGGTAATAACGATAGTGCCTCCTTTGTACGATTCTCATAATGATTAAATGGAAAGGTGACTGTAAGCACTAGACACAGTGCATGGCGTGTGTAAAGGGCTGATGTATTATGGGTTCTCATTAACAGCAGGGATGGCATCATTCTGCCGGTATGATTCCTGCATCTGCAATTTTTCCCCATAAATACGAAGGAAGCACTCTAGTTTGCATTTGTACTATATTATTCACAAGTTAGAGCTTTAACTGATAGATCCTTGAAGTATTATGAGGGTAGAGAAACTTAGAGGCCACTCAGTACACTTTTTGGCAACGCTGAATTTTGTTGGTGGTTATGTTTCAAATATACTTGTGATATGAACAATGGAGATAAAAAGTAATTTCTTGACCTCAAAAGCTCAAAAATTCTGTCTAGTTTTCAAATTATACAATTATGTCAATTTGCGTTTAGCAAAACTGAAGCCACATTTTCGTCTTTCTATAACTTGATGTAAGGGAATTCCCAGAGGTCTCTCTCTGGAGCTCTTTTGCATACTAATTATTCAATGGTTTAAATCACAGCAGCAGCACCATCTATTGGGGAGTTTTTCCTGAAACAAATCTTTCTACAATTCTGGAAACAAAAAACAGCACAAAATGAATTTATGTTCATTTCCATTTTTCATTGAGATAAAAAGAAAATTGATTTTAGTGAAGAATTTCTTCTAGTGAACATAGTCAGGAATTAGTAAGAATGGAAGTCAGTATCGCACGACAGTCACTGTTGAGACATTAAAAAAAAAGGAAAAATTAAGTATCAAATGTAATAGGCCTTGGGGGAGAATACGTCTTCCCTAATTATCACAGTCCGATGCATGCATGCCTTTTGCCTGCTAAATGATTGGGGAGATGTAACAATCTTCACTGAAAATCCAGCCCCTTGTCATTCCCTTGTGCCAAGGTAATTCAGATGCAATGGATGAAGACTAGATTAGACCATGATCCACTGATCATAGCTTTCTGTTGGGTTTATAGCACCAGATGGCTTAATTATTCTCAACAGTTCTCAATCTCTGTCTGTCAGGGAGACCAGATGTAATTTCCATCTTCTGGAGAAACAGATTCCTAAGATTGAATACAAGGAATAAAATGTGAAAAAGGCCCAAGAATTGAGGTCAGTTAGTAGAAGTCCATGTACCCAAGCCAACGTACCTCATCTATCAACTCCCTCTTCCATGATAGCAAGTTTCCAGGGCTGGCATAGCTAGAAGCATATGCAAAGCATTTTGACGCGGGTAACTTTTGACTAGAACTATTGCTTTATATTCAATCTTCGCATACCCATAAGCACACATATATTTGTGATTAGCTAATAAAACATACAGAATTCATGTTTTCTACCAGTGCAATTTGATTTCACATTTATTTTTTTGTGTGTGTTACATTAGACCTATATTCATGGAGTTAATATCTTGTAAAATATGCCAAAATGCTAGGTAAGGTCCTCCATCCAGCTCTGTTCGTGATGGACTTCATATCACGCCTTATTTGTATCTTGATTTAGATCTGTCTTCTAAGGGTTTGACTAATTCTAGCATGCCTTCTGTCTTCTCAAGCAACTCACCACACAAGGCAAACAGAAATAAAACTGTAAAAAAGGGCTCTTATATCTTAACCTTCATGTGTTAAAACAATGGAAATTCCCCATATCTGTCCCATTCCACTTCAATACGTTCAAGGTTGGTTCATGAGCTCTAGTCTGCCATATGTCTGCCAAATACCCAACCCCATTCAGCGTGGGAGGAGAGGTCACAGGGAACCTTCTGGTTGGAAGATTAATGGATGTTCAGTATTCAATGTCAACACCCAAATAGCATTCTCCTCTTGGTGTGTGAAAGATGCAAATTACATTTTTCCCTTTAGTAAAAATACAGTCAAATTTCTAAGGTTCCTCCTAAGCTCACCCCAGTCTACCCCTCACCATGAGGTTACCCCGGATATCCACCAGGCTATATTTTTAGCAAGGACTGTAAACTCTTGGCACACACAATGTGTGTCTTTATTTTTCGATCATCAACCCTAAGCACACTATCCAGCCCCCAAGCAGCAAAATGTAAATGTTAAAGAATGAAAAAGAAACATCTACACCTTGATCACAAAAGAATGGATTTCTTCTTATAAATAACATAATTGCTTTTTCCACTGACAATTTATAGTTCCAGAACAGAAGTATGCTACAGCATCTCAACATGGTACTTGGGAATATGAAAAAAAATGATAGTATCACATTTTCATGTCCTATATTTGTTCTTCAGTAATAAACTCCTCTCTAAAAGTATACCACTTATGACCTAATAGTTAACATGATTGCAAAAAAAAAAAGATGTGTTCGCAATTCAAAGATAAATATTGATTTTACCTCAATACTCATATTTTTTCATGTAATTTTAAAGCTGATAGGGATTTTTAAGATGTATGCAAAACAGTGTAAAAAATCCGTGTCAAAAAACATTGCCAATGAGGAATTCCAGTAATAAGGAATCTTTGCCAATTTTTCTGGTTACTTTGATTATATCCAAAGTAGTATTCTTAAGTCAGTTCCATAGCAAAGTGCCCAGAGTCACAATGAAAGCTCATATTAGGACAAAGTCAAGGAGATGTTACGATGCTCTATATCCTACTGGACTTTAGAGAGTGTAAGAAATTTATGGAAGCATTTGAAGATGAATAAATTAAGAGTAAACAGACTTAAGCAAAAATGCTCAGGAGTTACACAAACCCAAATGCATTGCCAACATTCTCCACATTCTCCATCTCAGGCAGGGCTTGTTTTGGTTTTGGTTTTTGCCACCTGAAACAAATTCAAAAAGAGAACTCAGCACTCCTGAAAACTATGAGGGAACAATAATAAAAGTGAAGGCGTAGCTAGTCAGGTCACAAGGCTCGTAGGGGCTCATTAATAAGTAGGTTCCATTCCGTGAGGATAGCTCCTGCGCAAAACAGCGTTCTGACCCCGGGGGGTCCTGCTGTAGGCATTCAGAGGAGGGAATGAAGATTTCTTTTCCAAATTAAGTTGTCAAGGAGCTCATTTACACTACACAGTGAGTGTATGTGGGCGAGCTGATGAAGATGATGATTTATGATGCTGGCGACATTTAAGTGATTCTGGTGATGGAAATCCACAGCAAAATCCACTTAGGAAGATAAAACAGAGCTCCGGTTATCTGTGGGAGGTAAAACCACATGGCTTTTGCCCTTACAAATTTCGAGTTACCCTACTGGGTTTGGGAATGGAAAGAAAGCTCATTTACTCAGAATTCATGTTTTGGTGTAACATTATTATACAAGCACACACAACATTTTTTTAAACTTGATATTCATCAGATAGAATTTAAATGAATTTTGAAAAAAAGACTTTTCTTCTATCTTTGAAGGAACGGGTGTGAGGACGGGACTGACCAATCACATCATGGACAGCTATGTAACAAACAGACACTTAAAACATCTAAATGTGAATGAATTGTAGCTCTCCATCTTCAAAGGCAGTAAACATACCTTTTGGCAAAAACTACCCGCAAAAATTATGTCTTAAAAGGCTAAGCAAATACATAAACATACTTGATTAATGGACGTAGTCATTAGCAGTTAACATCTTCACAGGGTTTTCATCAAAAAAAAAAAAAAAAACACCATTCTGAGCACAAAATATGTAAAGTGATAAAACCAAAATGGAAATTGGAGTTCACCTTTACTATCTTTGGTGTGCATGCTCCTTAAATGCCAAGAAAATTAATTTTAAGAGTCTTATGAGAATTTATAGGCTTTGCTCTTACATGTTGAATATATTTGTAATATCCTATTTTAGTAGCAAAGTGTGAGCCCCATTGACAAGTAAATTCCTACATAAACAACATAAAATGGCAAAAAACTCACTGTAGTTCCATGGTTAGTCTAGGTTTATATTTTTTACAAGTGTTTGTACAGAGTCACAGACAAACCTTTAGAATAATTCAATGTCACTTACTTCTATGAGTTCCATCTTTTATTGACACCACCTTAAATGAATGGAACAACTTTTCATGTATGTGCATTAGATTATTATATACTTCCTATGCTGTAGAAATATGAGCATTCACTATTTATTCACAGCAACATTATCTTATTGCAATATTCATTTCTAGAAGATTACAAAATCACGGGGACACAAACTGACAACGTAGTCTTTGCTCCTTTTGCTATATACGAGGTATGCGGGAGCAGTCCATGCTTTTGTTTTGCTTGTGTAAAGGGATTCATCAAGATCTCCTCTCCCCTATTTCCAGGTTCCAGAAGAACATCACCTATCTATGCATTTTATTTTACTCACTGAAAAAATCAGACGTATACGATCATGTATTTATGGGCAAATGATATCCATGTTACTATGTATGTGACTTGATACCAATCTCCTTGATGAGATATCAGGGAAATAATACAAATAAAATTAAGGATTCAGAAAAGGGTTTGGTTTGCTTTTATGTATCTTTTTAAACTCTTCTGATGCTTGATATAACTAGATTTTGCTTTTAAAAAAAAATTTCCCCAAACAAGTAAATATGTAGTCTCTATAGGATTCCGTGAATTTTCATGCCAGTATTTGAGGTGTTTATGACCTTAGCGCTAAGAAGTCATAGTAATTACATACTTTTAAATGTAAATAATTTCATTATACATGAGTTCATAAATAAAAAATATTAGGATGCAAAATAGGTTCAGGAATTATAGATAGTAAAGATAGTTTCTAAGGACCTAGAGTTGAACCAGGGTTGTGTTTCAAATTAGAACATAGTTTAAGTTAAAAAATAGTATTGTTTTAAAAGTATTTACACTTTAGTAAGATTAACATTCATCAGCTAGTCCCACTCGCTATTATGCCAAAATGTCGATAACTCGGTTTTTACTCGTGTTAGAAATATTACAGTTATATATTTTTGTAAAATGTTGATATCGCGTACTGGAACAGAAAGGTGGGCTTGAGCCACGTAGGAGAGTCAAAGAACATAACTCAGAATTGAGTTAATATGAAAATGTAGAGATTTGGACATATTCATATTATCATCATTCTTAAAAATCAAATTAAACTTGGGGCACCTGGGTGGCTCAGTCGGTTAAGCGTCCTACTTCGGCTCAGGTCATGATCTCATGGTTCGTGGGTTAGAGCCTTTTGTCGGGCTCTGAGCTGACAGCTAGCTCAGAGCCTGGAGCCTGCTTTGGATTCTGTATCTCCCTCTCTCTCTGACCCTCCCCTGCTCACGGTGCCTCTCTCTCTCTCTCTCTCAGAGAAAAATAAAACATTAAAAATTTTTAAAAATCACATTAAGCTTCCAGAGTGCTACTGTTTTAATAAGCTCGTAGGAAATATGGAAACTGACTTTCACACGAAAGAGTCCTCCTGTCGGATGTTCACTTTAAAGATTTTTGATAAACTGCATGTTGAAAACTATGACCTTCTGGAAACACCCTCCCTGCCACCTAATGCCTCTGGTAACCATGGTGCCTTGCAGTTCTCAGAGTTCATCTGTGTGACCTCATGATAGCTGTGTGAGATGGGCAGGAGGCTTGGGGGTTACTGAACTCGGTCCACAGTGGGGGAAACTGAGGCTTAGAGCCAGGGAACACAGATCAGATGGTGTATGTTCCAGATGTCACTCTGCCCCCTCCCACAATTAAAGGAAAATAGATTGCAAATTTTGCTCTGACCTATTTATTTTTATAGACCATACACGAGAACTTCACGTCCCTCAAAGATCCTTGGTCAAACCACCCACACAGCTGTAACAGTGGGCAGCAGACGACTTCAGCGGCTCAGCTGTGGTGGCTTTTCTCTAATGTAGTGATTTGCATCCAACTCAAACAGACAGAAATAAATAAATAAATAAATAAATAAATAACAGGAGTGGAATAAAGAGAATGAAGCTGTTTTCCTAATATAAAACAAACTCCTGAAATATACTTATTTTTAGGTTGATCAATTCAATAACTTATTTATTAGACAGCATAACCAAATAACAACCTGTAGGTAGTAAAGCTGTAAATACAAACAAATATATGCATTACATTTCCGTAAGCAATAAAAATAACACGTACTCATATATCTTTCGATCTCTGAAGGGATGATATGATCTGATAATGAAGTTTGCTGCTTGTTTGAAACCGAACACTGAACGGAAGGTTTAAACAATGAGGGACCAGAGGACTAACTCACTAAGGGCAGTAAAACACACATGAAAAATATCCGCTAACATCGAACTGTTGGTGTTATCTGTCTTCATAAACAAGGCTCATACTTAGCAGTGTGTCTCCTGATCACAGAGCCAAAATACCCAGCATGATTTTTGATATTTCTTGATTTTTTGCCTAAGGAAATGTAATAGCATTTTAATTCCAATTAATCAGATCAATGAGTTATCCTATTTTGCTGTCCACCTAAGCTCAGTAAAGATTAGACCCTTCATCAAACCAGATTTTTTTTTATTTCTATAATCCTAGCTGCATTTCTTATTTGAAAATGGAACTCTATGCTTCCCCATGTTCATACATACCCTAGAAATAATTGATGCTATACTGAAATGTCAGTTTCTTTTATATCCATGTCCTCTGATTGAAATATTGGATTGGACCCTGTAGCACATCAAGGATTCTATGTGATAAAAGCAGACTGCCTGTCCATAAAGCATTGGCTGTCTTTTTCACATAATATCTCCTCCCAAAATCTTCCTGTGTGAAAAACACATATGTATAAATTGAAATGTATTTAAGTCCAGTCTCCATCTAGACCCACAGCTAGATCTCCATGTGGGAGTGTGCGTTTGGGTGTGTGTTGTAAAGAGGTACAGTGCGTGGTGTTCCCTTCCCGAGTCCTTGATCCTTGGCCTGTGCTTCTAGACATTCTAGGGGTCAGGAGACAGTGTGAAGGGAGAAGAGCAAGCCAGACATCAAACCCATTTATTCTGAATCTTAAATTATGACTTTTTATCATCAATATTTTGGTTACATTGTTACACAAAGGACAAATTAACATCCGCTGTGAGGTCTCTTCTTGGATTGCTTTGGGATCAGCAACATTTCCTTGGCATATGAATCCTGCACCCATCAACTCCCAGCCGTATCTTAACACTATAGTTGCAGGAGGGGCCCAAACAGGAAGGCTTTGCAAAGCTGCTCCCAGGGGGCCTCTGCCAATACCTGTAACCGCGATGACTTCCAGGTGCCTTCTCGCCAGGTGCTCCCAGAGAATGTCAACACACCTCTTTTCTTGGCGGAGCAGAGGATTCTGGGGGAGAGCAGCCCGTCCTGTTGGATTTGACACCCCTGATCCGGGTTACTCACGCAGAAGTGGATGCAGACAGATGAAGACAGGCTGCTGGGAAGACCCAGGCACACCAGGCCAAGGAAGCATGGTTTATTAAGAGGCTTGGTCATTACGGCTCTCATGCTCATCTTACATGGTTCAGGCCACCCAGGAATAGCAAGTTCTTAAAGTATTCCAGAGCATTAAAAAAAAAAAAAAAAAATCCAGCTCCTTACTAAAGGTGCATCTTAGAGAATCTCTTTGAAAGAAGAAGCAGAACTGTCCACCTGTTACGTGGACTCTGAGATACAGGTACCTTCTGTTTGGTGCGGTCTCATCCACAACAAAATACATAGGTATTTTTTGTTTTGTTTTGTTTGTTTGGTCTCATTCAAGAATTCAACATACATTTCTCTCCCCCATCCCAGCATGAAAAATAGAAATAAGGATCAGAAGGGAGAGCAAGTGTGGAAAGAAAAGTAAAGCTTTTCCAGAAAAAAAAGAACACCACCATCAAAACAAAACAAAACAAAAAAACCCCCCACACACGTAAACAATACAAAGCAAAAGTCGCAGTCCCATCGTGCAAAATTTGCTTCTCCGGATAAAGCACTTCTTGACAGATTCACAATGTCCCCTTCCCCCACCAGACGCCTCCCAGCCACCCCGGGGGGGCGGGGGGGGGGAATACAGAATGAAAGTGAAGCCATTCTTTTCCTTAAGGCTGAACAGACACACAAAGAACACATTTCAAGGGCTATCTGGCGGGTGGTGATTTCTGAGGCTCTTGCTCTGAGCCCCGCCCAACAACCTGCAATCCATCCTGGAGATCAACGGCACTCCTCGCTGGGGCAACAACACAGCGTACAAACAAAAGGAAGAAAAGTCCACGGTCCCGACAATAAAATCCAGTATTGACTTTACAATCACAGGTACAAATTGCTCAAATCGATAATTTCATTTCTCCTTAAGACCTTGTTGTCTAAAACTAATTAGAAGCCAGGTTCCCGAGGAATGGTCAATCTTCAAAGAAAATACTGGAGATTTAGAAGGAAATCATTCTTCTACCTCAACAGTCTGACGGAGGTTGGAAGCAAGTGGTCCTATTCTGGCAAGTTCAGGGTGTTAGGAAGGGCGGAGTCCTGGGTCCAGATCGCAACTTCCCCACCGTCTGGGGGCTCTGTGTTTATAGAGGAAAAACCAAGAAGCCCGAGAACGTGGAGTATTTCCAGCCCCCCATGAGGTTGCCCCTCTCCAGTTTGAGGTGCACTTTGTCTTCTTTCTCCATCAGCAGCAGGACGCCATTGCTGGCGGCTTCTCTGGTGACGTCCTGGTCCCCCGCAAAGGCTGAGATCACTGGGTACCCGTTCTGCATCAAACTGACCTGCAGAGCAGAAGGCAAAGGTCAGTAGATCGTGGGGGACTCCACCTGCACACACGTGTCCTCAAGTCCCCCCGCGGCCCACCCTGGCCAATGGAGCCCCACCGAGGGCCTGGCCCAGAAGACCAGGCAGGCTCTGCGCCGAGGGCCCTGGGCCAGCCGGCCCCCTGGTTGGCGCAAGTTCACAGAGGGTGTGCCAGGACCTATCGCAAGGGGCATCAGTAGTCCGATGCTGAAAGGGGCCAGAGAGCCTCGAAGCTACCCACCTGGATGGTTTGTCTGTTGTACACTTTGACCACGTGGAAGCTGAAACTATAAATGCCTTTTCTCGGGGCTACAAATATACTGGAGGCAAGATCGAAATGGTTGCCAATATTTACTAATACCTGAAAGAGAAGAGGGAATACAGCACAAACATAGCAAGCCCCTCCTCAGTGTCTGTTTTACCCAGACTGGCAAAACCACCCACCGACGCCAGTTCCTCCAGCAGCCGCGCCAGAGCCGGGGCAGCGTGCCAAGGCGGCCCCCGGGGAGCAGCCGGTGGGAAAGTGCCCTGCACCGAGGAAGGGGTTGTAAAAGAATCCTAATGGATTGCAATTAACAAAGATGTTTAAAACCGTATCCTGCTTGTGGATTGAAAAAGTGCATGCAAATGTCACATGTGGGGGGCCAGGCAGGGAGGAAGGAGTGGGAGGCAGTAAGATCAGAACACAAACAAAACGGAGTCTGTTCAGATTTGGGGGATTCTAGGGCGTTAGACAGAAGTTCAGCTTCACAGAAACAGGGCTGTGCCGTACCGCACGGGGAGACCCGGGCCATGGGGGGAGTCACTGTCAAGGCCAACTCAGTGGGATAACTTGCAGCAGCTCCAGCTTGGAACTTCACTCCACGTTCCAAGGAGAGAATGGAGTGTGTGAGCTTCTCCATGTGGCCCCAGCCCCGGGCAACCCGCACCCCCCCCCCCCCAGCAGCCCAGCAGAGCACAATAAGTGCTTCATCTCAGGCGCTGAGGGGAAGACCCACAGGGCGGGCAAGCGGGGGCTGCACCTGTTTCTCTGCGCCCTGCACTGAGTGGTGTGCTTGCTCCCTGGCCTGAGCTATGATGTCATGCAGAAAAGCCGGAGGACACGAAGGGAGTGCAAACAGCAGTTGGATACCCTGAGCTCGAACTGCAGGAGGGAGCGTGCAAGACTAATGACAAAATTAACCGGAGGCTACGAGGTCACATGACCCTGCAGAGGATTTTTTTTTCCCCCTCAAATGAAACGGGAGGGGGATGAGGGTGTTACAATGTCATAAGCAGAACTAGAAGAGTGGAGGACCCTTCCTTATGACCCGGTTCCCTTTCAGGCGGTTAAGGCAGCACCTGACCACTGTGTCCGGGTCCTGTCCCCATTCCCACTCACACAAAGGCACAGCCAATTAGAACAATCAAATGGCCTGCTCAGTGTTCTCAGCTTTTAAAACCGGCAGCCAGCGACAATAAAACCCTAGACTCGGGATCCCGTCATCTGTACGGAAAATAAATTTCAGCCGAACACCTTCTGCTGTTACTCCTCATTCACTCATCACGGATGAGTGTCGCGCACCCCCCCCCCCCCCCCAGGCAGTGTGGGATGTTGCCCCAAGTAGTGCAGTAAAGACTCGAAATAAGCCTGAGCCAGCCCAGCCAGAGCTCAGGGCGCCACTTCAGACCCCCGCGCCTGTGGGGCTCAAGCACTCAGGGCTCCATTGTTCCGGACCTTGTGCTCACAATGCCTGTCGTCTCTTCAAGCCAGTGCTCTCAGTCTGCCTCACGACACTTTAAAAAAGAATAAAGCCTTCTCCATCCAAGCCCTTGGAGCTGTTTCTCCCAATTCCACTACCTCAACTCTTTTCCATCAGTTTTAAATCCAGGAAACTGGTAAATTTAAGGCCCTGCTGTCGATGAAAGAACACCCAAGGAGCCCAGAGAAGCAGGTTTTCCCTGTTCCCTACCTGAGGAACCAGGGGGACATATTTAACCTGCTCTGCCAGAGTTGGCTTGTCTATAAAATTAGAACCTTCCTACAACTTGCCTTGCCCTACATCTCACCAAATGAAACGATGGATTAGCAACGATGTGAAAACTACTTACGGGACCTCGGGCGATGACTATTAATAGCGCACGAAGAAGAACGTAGTAGAACGTATTAATAGTGTAAATAGGTAGCAAATACCCATGTCGTTATTGTCTGCTGTATTTGGACATCATTAAAAGAAATAATTTTATTTTTTAAAAAACTGTTGAAAAACAGATTAAAGAAAGATCCTCTCCCAAACCTCGAAATCTCAAGTAGAGAATATTTAGCAAGGATTAAAATAAATTAATACTCTGGCCTAAAACGAGGCAGTGGTGTGTGCAGATTGACTTGGGTGTGAGGCTTGGCTAACAGAAGGGAAGTCGATTCAGTGTGGTGGGCAAGCCCAGCACTCTGTTTTAGTGGCAAGCACTTAGGCAAAAGGAGGGGGCTGAGCAGGTAAAGTTTGGGAGCCGCTATAATGTTTTCAACTTGTTTCTGGAAAACAACAGAAACCCAGACGGGAGGGCTGGAGAGAAAGGTCACAACCCCCAATCGTGAGCCCAACGACCCAGAGAAGGGATTGCCAACGTCTGAGCATTTACTGACCCTTGTGTTTTGAACCAAGTGAGAGAAGTGAAGTGGCCTGGGACAACGTAAGAAGTCATTGATCCTACTTGGTTTTTTCTTAATCTATATAACTGCAGTATATATAATATTTATGTGCTGTGTATATTTGTACATTATAATGTATGTACTGTATTTCCTATCTATTCCATGTCTATAACCACAATCTATTTTGTTTGCTACTTACATAACCATCCTTACTGTTGCCGTACCTTCTTCCCGACTTTTTTTTTTTTTTAAGATAAGCATCCTTTCCCCGAACCATCCCCAAGTAAGCAATAAGCACATATTTTCTGCCTGGGAACTCTCTTTTTGGGTGTGTGATCGATGCACCCAACCCCCAAGCTGGCCACCTGGGCGACTGAAACCCATCCACCACAAATGACAGCCCTCACCCCAGCGGAAAGTAAAATGGGCAGTTTCCTTGGGAAATGCACCTCAGATCTCCCAGCTTTAAGGGGCTGTCCGTCATCCAAGTGCGAACTGAGCTGATGCTTCTAAAACGGCTACGATGGGAAAACGGGAAATGGTAAAGAGAGCTTCCTCGACAAGGGAGAAAGGAGAAGGGCAGGGCAGGGAGGCAGGGAGAGCCTGGCAGTCCCCGGCCCCCGCCCCCGGGCCCCCGCCTCCTCCAACCCGGGCGGGCGGCGAGGCGGCCGGCTGGCCGGCTGACCTGGTCGAAGTAGATGGTCATGGTGCGGTTGCTCATCTCGGACGGCTCGTGGTTGGTGCTCCGCGTGGCGGAGAAGGCCACCTTGGCGCTGCCGGAGCGCACGGAGATGCCCAGCGAGGAGGTGACCGCGCCGTCCGCCGACGGGCTGGAGTCGCACACCACCAGGCACTTGCCCTCCAGCACGATGGGCTCCGTGTCGTTCTGCGCCCGCACCGGGCAGCCGGCCGGCAGCAGCAGCAGCAGCAGGGCCAGCGCCGCCCCCAGGCAGGAGCCGCAGCCAGCCGGCTCGCGCAGCGCCCCCCGGCGCCCGGGCATGGTCAGGGGCGGCCCTCGGGGGCCCCGGCCGGGCGCCGGCATCCGCGCAGCGGGGGGCGGGGGCGCGCGAGGGCGACGGCGGGCAGCGGCCGGAGGAGCGCGGGAGGGCGCGCAGGGCTGCGCGGGGCCTGGGGGAGCCTGCTTTGGCCTGGGTCCCCTGCTCTGCTGGTCAAGGCCAGGGTCGTCCTCAGAAGGAAGGCGCCAGCGGACCTGTGAGGGCAAAGAACCCAAACCCTTAGACTGGGAGGTGAAGCTGGGGGTAGGGGGGGCGCGGGGAGCAGGTGCCTGCAGCGCGAAGGAAGCCCCCTCCCTCTCCGGAGGCCACTCTCTGAGTCCCGCGCAAGGCCACCCCCTCCCCGATTGGCACAACAGGTCGGAGGACCGCCCCGGCGCGCTGGGCAGGGCGTCCCTGAGGGCTCCCCGGCTGCGCGCGCCTGGGGTGCGGTCAGGTGAGCCGCCCGGGATTCTGCAGGGCCTCGGCCCTGTGACTCGGTGGGTGACCTCAGAGGCGCCGTCAACGCCACCCCCGGGCCCATTCTGCAACGGCGGAGAGGGCCCAGGATGCAGGCAAAGGAAAAAATAAAAAACCTACTGAAGGTTCATCGCCTTCATTTTAGCGGCAGTTTCTTGAAAGCCACACCAAAAAAAAAAAAAAAAAAAGCAAAACAAAACAAAACACAAAAACCGAAACTAAACCCTTTCCTTTCTCTTCTCTCCCTTTCATCCTCTATCTTTCCATCCTGTAGATTTTTTCCCGTTAAGCACTTCACTTAGTTAAGATCGTATACATTTTCCGCCCAAAGAACAAATCCCAAGGAAGCTCCGTAGGGTGAATAAGATTAAGAGGAAAACATTTGAAAAAAAAGGGAGACTCTAAAACCAAACACCCACTTCCACGGTCCCCACGGTCAGCAGCGAGGTCCTTCGTTCTGGAAGCCCCTCCGAGCGCCCTCCCTGGCGCACGACCGGGGACTGCACCGAGGAGCGTCCCGGGCTTGGCTTTGTCGTGCGGCTTTTGTTCCCGGACTCCAGGCCCTTCCTTTCCGGCCTGGGAGGCAGCGCCGAGCTCTCCGCTAACTTGCGCGCGAGTCTGCACTTCCCCCCACCCCCCCGGCCTCCCTTCTCCCCCGAAACTGGACAGGTCACCGCATTACCCAGTGGAGACGCGGAAAGCAAAGACGCGTCTCCCCTCGCCGCCCACAGCTCCGCGCAACTCCTGCCGCGGTCTGTCTAACCCCAGAGAAGTTGATCCCCGGAGCAGCCGCTCCCCAGCCCCACTACGAACTGATCCCCATATTCTCTCTCTTTCGCCCTCTCCGGAACGCACACTCTCGAAGGTCCTTGATTAAACTATACGCTTGAATGCAATCCCCGTGCGGCGCGTGGAGGGCAGGCTCCGGGGTGGGTTACCTGGGACACCCATGGTGGGCGAGCAGCGCGGCCCGCGAAGTTGCTCTGCTTAAAGAAGACGAGCGGGAGCTGGCGGGAGGAGGCTCGGAGCGCAGCCCTTGTCCCCGCGCCTGGCCAATAACCGCGCCGCCCCGCCCTGCCCTTTTCCCGCGCCGGCCCGCGCCCGCTGCGGGTACGCCCCGCGCCTCGCACCCGCGGGCATCGCGCCGCGCCCGCGCCCCGCGCCGCAGCGCACCTCGCCCGGGACCCGCACCGCGCAGCGCCGGCAACCCGCACAGCCCGAGCGCCGCACCGCGCAGCGCCTCGCTCCTCGCCCCGGTGGGCACCGGGCACCGCAGCCGGACCCGCTGCCCAGGAGGGCCCTTCGCGCCCAGCGCGCCCCCGGGGCGTTTCTCTCCGCCTGGGCCCCTCACTCCCCGCCTCTCCTCTCGTCTCCAGACGGCACAGCCACCGCGACCTCCTGGAATCTCCGCGCACCGCCCCCTCCGGGGCTCCGCACCCGCTCTCCGTGCGCACCCCCGCGGCACCCTGCACCACCCAGCTCCGACGCTCACCCAGACACCCCGAGCGAAATCCTCCCAGACGCCTTGCTTTTACTGATTAGGCACCCTCAAAGCACGGGCCGCGCCTCTTCTTTCCAATTCCTTCTTTTCTTTTCCAAATTCCCTCCAAGTCTTAATCCTTAATAGCGTGACCACTTTCATAATTAGGGGGTGAAGCAGTTAAAAAAAAAAAAAAAAGGCTGGGATGGAAAGAAAAAGCTTGGGATTTTAACGGCTTAAACGCTGTGGTTCCGGAATCTCCAGTTTGGGGAAATGTCAGATTTTGGCAGGGATTAAAGAGGCGCCTCCGTCTGGGTTTATGTTTCTGCTCCTCTGAACCTCGGGGCTCCTGGAGCGCGTTGGCACTCGCGCTTATTTATTAAAATGCCTACTCTGAGCTCTAAGGACCTGGGGAGACGCGCCGCTCTCCCAGCTGCGCCCAGAGCGCGGGCGAGAAGCGCACACGCGGACGCGGGGCGCCACCTGCGGGCGCTGGGGCCTCCCTGCTGCAGGCTGCGGGCCGCAGGCCGGGCCGGAGGGGCGGGAGTCCTAGGGACGGGGATGAGGTCTGCTGACGGTCTTCTCTGGCCGGAGAGCAGCCCTGTCCTCCGCCAAAACGTAACAAGGATCAGCGACCTTGCCGGTACCGTCAGTGCCCTCGCCCTGACAACACGTAGCTTTTTTTTTTTTTTTTTTTTTTTGCAGATCTTGATCTTGATTTTGCAGATCTTCCGTGTTCTACCAAGCCACTCTGCCGAGATGATGTACGCTGCAGTCCGTTTATCATTGGTTATCACGGTCCGCAAAACGTTTGCACAGGCCACTGAGCCGTGGAGTCTGTACCTCCCTTAAAGAGTATTTAAATGCACACTCTCTTTATGCCCGGACTTTGAAAAACATTGTTAAAAAAAATACTTAAGTCTTTGGACTTGCATAGTATGCCTCTGACAGCAGGCTGATCAAAAATAAACTGTAAGTCGACCAATGCTGTTCGTAGGAAGGGAGCAAAAGTATTTCTTATTCCTCCAGACTTCACACCTGACCCTCTTTGGTTTGAAGGCTTCAGCATGTGTTCCGGTTCCGCCCTTACACGCTGAGTCTTTTCAGGTGCGGGGGGGGGGGGGGGGGTGTTCAAGGCTCCCCCCACCCCCAGGCTCTCACGTGGCTCTTCTCGCTATTTAGAACTACCATGCCTCATTTCTAAACACTGAGATTAAATTCATTTCAAATTAGCTTAACCAAAATGGATGTGTGGGAAGACAGGGGCGAAGTAAAAACAGAATTGCGTATTATTACAGGAGACAAAATATTTAGTATGGTTGTAAAAATGTGATGAAGAGAACTTCTGAGCGAGATGTTTTCTCCTTAACATGCAAAACACTAAAAATATAAAACATCCCCCAAATCGATTATCCGACTAAAGATATGCGCTGAAAATTAAGTACGTAATTTCGACATTTGGGTAATGCGCAAAGGAGATGTACTGGACTTTGCCAGGAAACGTTTTCAAAGCCATCGTGTTTTGCTGCCATTTTTTTTTTCTGACATAGTGGAAATTGTTAATTGTTACTTCAGGAAGTTGCCTCGTTTTATTATTGCATTTATTTGACAATTTCCTATTGTCAAAATAAGCACAACTTTGTCATTGCTTCATGGAGAGAGCTGATTTGTGTGCAAGAATAAAGAGCAAAGGACCCTAGATGTATGAAGAAATGTGAGGCAAAGACTGATAATTAGACGCATTTGGGGGTGCTAATTAAGTAGCAATGCCTCTTGCACATCTATAAATCTTTAAATAACAGCCTTATTAAGCAACTGTCTTAAATGTTGTGCGATAAGAATTTCTTTTGACTAATGCAAATGCAAACATACATGAACCCAATTATTATCATCACCTTCGGGGGGAATAAAAACCAAAGCTCTTCTCCACGTGGCAACACATGTATTTAAATTCTATAAATCAGGAAACCTTTCATCGACCTAGGGACCTAAATCACGGACATAGAGCAGGAAGCATTCTTATATAAAAGAGAAAAAAGCAGGTTAGGCTTACATTTAGGCTTGAGGCTCTTCTTAAAGAGAAAGTTAGTCATTGCGAAAATCAGCAGATTGGCAGAGAAATGGAGCCTTATTTATTCACGGATTGATTCTTCTATCCATCAGGAGACATTTAGGTTGTCTCCTTAGAGGTGGTGATGCTTAGAAAGATTTTCAGAATATGACCTAGATTTCAAGCGTCAATGTCTTCTGCACATGGCACGAATCACTTCTGTTCCATTTTCATGTTAGTAGAACTTGCTGCCATTACTACAAGAAGAGCAGTAGAGCCTTTTCTCTTTAAGTGTAGGCACGTCCCCATACCCAATAACAATGCCAACAATGTCATTTACTGAGCATCTATTAAGTCTCAGAAATTGCACAATATCCTTTATCTACCATCTAGTACACAGGGTGACACCCAGCTCACCCTGGGGTAGACAGACGGTCACATAGAGCTTAAGAGAAAAGTATTCTAATGTTGAGAAACCGGTGGAAGGAGAAGGCTGAGACGATTCAGATTCCCTTTCTTTCATTTGTCCCAAATATTTGTCTCTAATGGAGCTTAAAATTGGTTTCTTTGCATGGAACTCATCGCTGAAATACATCTTTAGCATGCATTGTAGTCTTTTCTTGCTTCTTTCAATTAATACATAATACTTATGATTGTATTCTAGGCATGTGAAAAATACAATCTGCTATGTATTTCATACTCTTGGGTGTGAATGCTGTGTACACACTTTTAAACACAAACATGGAAGCATGAATAAAAAAAAATAATTTTCTTTTTCTTTTAACTTTTTAAAGAGTAATTGGCAAATATAACCATATATATTTAAAGTGTACATCGTGATGATTGGACATACATAGACACTGTAGAATGATTGCCAAAATCAAGGTAATTAACACATCACAGCACATAGTTAACAGGGTTCACTCTTTTTTTTATTTATGTGATGACAATGCTTAACAACTACTTGCAGCAACTTTCAAGTATACAAACCATATCATTAACTGTAGTCATCATGCTATACACAGGATTCCCAGAACTTA